CCTCAGCTGGAACTGCTTGCGAGACAAGAGACGGACATGCTGAAAAGAAGTAAAATAGGATTAGGATAAATCATACAAGAGTGATAAACATGAGATACACGTATTTGAGAGCATCAATTACTCCATTACTGAAATAAATATTTACAACTACTAGTCCAGATCTTGATTTTGAAAAGAGCTGCACAAAATAAAATGTATTGTAAGAAAAATCATTTGATGTTTATTACCTTTCCTTCCCTGATGGTTTTACTTCACAATATTTTCAGACGGCTTAGTTTTGCACAATGTATATTGAGGTTTTTTACTAAAATACATTTTATATTATCAGCCAATATTGATAAAGACATAAAATCAACAAGAAGCTGCTCTAATTAGCAAAAATGGGACAATATTCTAAGGCATTATATGAAGTAAATGTGGATCATTTCTATGCAGGTAGTCCTTGACTTATGACTACAATTGAGCCAAAATTTCTAGTACTAAGTGAGACAGTTATTAAGTAACTGTTGCCTCATTTTACAACCTTTCTTGCCACAGTTGTTAAATGAATTAACGCAGTTGTTAAATTAGTACAAGGGCTGTTAAATGAATCTGGCTTCCCCATTGACTTTGCTTGTCAGAAAGTCGCAAAAGGTGATTACATGACCTTGGGACATAGCAACCAGTTGTCACGCATCTGAAATTTGATCACATGATCCTGGGGATTCTGGAAAGATCATAAGTGTGAAAAATGGTCATAACTTAAGTCACTTTTTTCATTGCTGTCATAATTTTGGTCACTAAATGAAATATTGTAAGTCGAGGACTTTATTCATGTATATTTCATGAAAACTACCTTGAGAAAGATGTCAAGGTCTATAACTCCACGTCTCAGTGCTTCCCCCAGATAAAAGATAGTATCTTCAATAGCATTTTCCTCCGCATACAAGTTCAGTATCTGTTTGTAAAGTGGTGCTGTAGGAACAATAACTTCATCTATGTCATTGTTTTCTGACTGACTTTCCATTTTTTCCAAGGCAGAACTTAACTCTTCATCTTTCTTTTTCAGGAGATCGATGTTTTTGTCAACTTCAGCCTAGACAGACAGACAGACAACTTGTTTTAAAATGACTTTATATCCATTTAAAATTGACACTCCAAATTTCTCCTTTTGTTACTGAGTATTGTACTTTTTTGGGTGGTTGTTCCTTCGAGTCAGTCTTCACCTAGATAAGTCCCTACAGTTTTTTTGGAAACATTTTGGAAACTGGTTTGCACTGACTTTTTTTCAAAGCTGAGACAAAGTAACTAGCCCAGAGTCATCCCAGTTTCTAGCCTGGTATCTTTAATTATTGGTTGTCTCACACACAATTACTAATATAAAAGAGCTCAAGGGAGTTAAGAAGAGACTTAATAGATCTGAATTAGATCCTGTATTTCCTACGTTAACTATGTTCCTCTATAATTCAGTATCAGATCGATAGCCACATACACATTGCCACTATTCTTAAAAATGGCTTATATCATCTTTTTGCCTTGTCGCTGATAATCTTAACTATATATTATTTCATCTACTTTGAATATTATTAATTTACCTATCTAGGTTCAAGTATAATATATAAATAAGAAAAGGAATCATCAATTAACTTTTTCAATGCTCTCATAATTTTATAAGCCTTTATCATAAACTCTTTTTTCATCTTTTCTTTTAACTCCCTAGGTATTACTCTAAATCCCAAATACATTTGACTACTTGACTGCATTTTTCTACATTTTTCCAATGTTACAATAGTCATTGTGAAATGCAACAGTCTGGCCCTTATATTTCTATAAAAGCCTATTATTGTAATAATTATTATTAATGCCCTTCTTAATAATTCCTAAAGTAAGATTTAATTTCAGTAACTGCCTCACATCATTCCAATATTTGATCAATCTATTTGTCATGACTTCAGACCCATTTTGTGCTCTGCTTGTTTAGGAATAGTGTGTTTTCCCTACTGGGCCTGCCCACTTCGATGGTGTCACTGTTTCACTATAGATATGTGAACTCCCCAAATAATTAAAAACTGCTCCTTCAGATTCAGGGTAAATCACATGCATGTTATAAAGCAAAAAATATTTCAGCTTACCTTCTCATAACAACACATGTTCAGATGCTTCCTTCCAGGATTTCCCAGATTTTAAAGTACAGTTTTAAATATATATAAGTTTCCTGCTTAATAACACTACACAATCAATATCCATTTAACCTAATTTGTACATCCTATAGATGTTTGAAGGGAGCTTAATAATTGTCTACTACGACAATTGTTCTGCTCCATTCTATCCTCTCTCAATAATATCATTTTTGAGAATTATTTATTAATCAGATTACCAGGCCATGCAACTCTAACTCTCATCTCCATCGGAAAGTTAAAAAAACGAACAAGAAGCTCCTTTTCAAAAGTTTTTTTTAAAATTGGGGAGAGCGGTCATGTGAATTTCCAAGGGGATGCTGTTGCAGAGGACAGGTGCTGCAATGCAGGCCTGCCTCCTGGGTTCTGCTATGCGATACTGCTTACTTGATGGGAGCAGGAATGAGTGAGCTCTATCAGATTTTACTGGGAAGGCAGAGACTAGAGGAAACAGATGGTTTCTCAGATAACTAGGCCCTTTGCCATGGAAGGATTTTGGAGATGACAACCTGCACTTTGAAGCACATCTGAAAGCCAAGTGGTAACCAGTTCATAGAACATGGGTGTTATTAAGCATGGTTCAACCTGCCCATCAACTGCTGATGAGATAAAGAACTGCAACAGTATCCCAGAGGCAACTACAACATGTAGATTTACATGACGAAATATGACAGGAAAAGCATCTAAGTATAAGAGAGAATCTCTTTCACAGGGGATCTTTACTTTCCAGACCAAGTGTTTTCTTTCTATCCAAGATGCCTTAGTTAGTAAATGATCCTTCCTTTTCATGGAGCTTGTCAATAACCACGGATGTAATTGTAGTTACTATATCTCTAAAATCTAAAGTTAGGAATAAAAAGAAATATACACACTCCACACTCACGTGATGTTATCTATTTTTGGTGGTGGTGGGGGGTTGCAATTCGTCTTTCCCACCATTTATGAAGATAAGTTTGACCACAGGTCAAGTGCTCTAAGCCAGTGATCCCCAACCTTTTTTATGCCGCGGCCCGGTACCGGCATCAGCTGGGCGCCGCGGCCCGGTACCGGCATCAGCTGGGCGCCGCCATCTTTTTTTGACGAAAAAGTGCTTCCGGTGACCTCACCGGAAGCACTTTTTCATCAAAAAAGATGGCGGCGCCAGCGCTTCCAGTGAGCTTTTTCGGGTAGAAATGGCTTTCTACCCGGAAAAGCTCACCGGAAGCACTTTTTTATCAAAAAAAGATGGCGGCGCCCAGCAACCAGCGGCCCGGTAAGACTTGTTCCGCAGACCGGTATCGGTCCGCGGACCGGCGGTTGGGGACCCCTGCTCTAAGCAGTAGAAGTAGATGGAAAGGGGGGGGAGGTACAAGTACTAATGCATTGTCAAAATTATTCAGGAAAGAGCTTTTCCTCCTGCTTACCACCTCTTGGTCTAGACGAGTTACCATCTCTTCAAGCTTCTGATGACCCTTTTTCAGATCCTCTTCTGTGCGCTTCAAGGCATTGAGCTCCGCCTGGGCACGATCCATTTCTTCTTTCATTCGCCACCTCAGTTTATCACTGACTGCTGATATAAGGGAAGCTCGAATAGTGTCTTCACTAATTGTGCCATCTCTGCTGGGACCTGCAGAATAAAAATCACAGTCACAGAAGTGCTGCTGTCCATGTCCTCAGGAGGACCCCTTAGGCGTGACCCTTGAATAATTTAAAGAAAACAAAGGAATACCCTCTTGGGTTAAGTGGGGGGGGGGGGGGGAAATCATACTTTAGAAGATATATCTGTGAACTTTCAATGCATTTAAGAATACAGGTAGTCCTCGACTTACAACAGTTCATGAAGTGACCGTTCAAAGTTACAACGGCACTGAAAAAAAATGACTTATGACCATTTTTCAGTTACAACCTTTCCAGCATTCCCAGGATCATGTGATCAAAATTCAGATGCATGGCAACTGATTCATACTTGCGACCACTGCTATGTCCCAGGGCCATGTGATCACCTGTAGTGACTTTCTTACAAGCAAATTCCATGGGGAAGCCAGATTCACTTAACAACCAGGTTACTAACTTATCAACTGCAGTGATTGCAGCAACAGCAAATGTCGTAAAATGGGGCAAAACTCACTTAACAAATTCTCACTTAACATAAATTTTGGGATCAATTGTGGTTGTAAATTGAGGACCACCCGTACATGGATCCCTGGCCAACTCAATATGGGTTTATTTATCTCATCATAGTTTATAACTGAGTTATAAAAACCTCTATCAGTTCTCTAGGAGTTTTCATCTAGAGCAAAAAAGATTCATTAGGCTTCCATATATATTGATTAATTTATGCTGATAAGATAGCAGGCCTTTCTTAGAAATGCAAACATCACAAGCACCTAGTGCACTTGAATTACTCCAATGTAGGTAGACACACCACAAGTACAATTTTTTTATCAGGAAAACTTAAGATGTGCCTATATCAAACTATTACTGATCATTATTGCTTGAGGTTACTTATTTAAAAAAAAATGTAAGAGAGCTATATACTGAAAACAAAGAAACCCTACTTTTTTATACAAATGTTATTTTCTTTCCATCCTAGTTGTAAAAAGCTACAGGGCAAATATTATGATCATTTGACATGTAATGCCTGATATTTGTCATGCACAAATGATTTTTCTTATTTTAATTCTTCTTTTCAAAAATTCGGACTAAAAATTCACACACATTTCCATCTAAAGGTTTTCCATCATCTCCTGTTCAATAACACTGACTAAGGAGTTTACTTAGTTATCAAATTTTGTAACAAATGCCCCAATTCTTAATTGGTGTCATTTACAAAAGTTTTTTTTTTCAGTTAAGTGTTTTTTTTTAAAAGTTGTTAAGTTACAGGTATTACAACAGTATCCAAAATAGCAAGAATTAGGAACAGCACTTTATGATAAAAATTGTATTTTACCTTAACACACCAACTCAAAGTGCCACAGGTTTCACATGTAGTCTGAGTTTGCCGCATCCATAAATGTTCTTAATATTAACATTCTTCTTCTAAATGACAGCTTTTTTTTTTTCAAAATCATGAGTCCTTTTTGTTTCTTTTAAGATTTTCATTGCTGAAGCAGCATCCAAATTATGAAAGGGATTCTGATATGTCCATTCCAGTAATACCAATTATCAATACATATCAATACAATATAAATGTTTTTGAAGTGTCCACTCAACAAAAAAATAGTGAATTACTGAAAATGTCTATTTTTCCTGTAATTTCCATTCTTTCTTGTCAACTTCATTTATTCTGGTTTGATCTTCAGATGAAATTGACTTTCAGGGTGACAGATTCTGATCCAAATTTCTTCATTTTGAACTTCATATGATGCTGAAGAATATGCTATAATTCATTTTAAATTTTTCTTTCTTCTGGCTTTCACTTTTTTACATTCAGGCACAAGATTCAGGCAAAGATGTGCAACAAAAATGAATATAAAATCTTCAGGTTCAGAATCTAACGAAGGACGGCTGAACAGTACAGTTTCTATATTCTTTTCAATGCATTTAAAGTTCATTTATGAATGTCAGCATATATCAAAGTATTCTTATTCTTTTTCATACTTTGATTTTGAGTCTTAGGAACAAGTTTAGTCAAAGGTCTGAATGTCTATCATGCTGATCTTTGTTCCCTAATCTCTCTTCTCTTGGAAATAAGCAAGTCTGCCATATACAAAGAACTCTGAAAATTGGTATCAAACTAAGGAATCCTTCTGCATAACAAATGTTACATAAATTAAACATTTTTAGAAGAACTCTAGACATTTTCCACCAATAAATACACTTTTTCTCAAGTGCCAATATTATGCAGTGTATTAAAAATACAATTTACAGACTATATTGGATAGTGTTCAGTTTGCCAAGAAACATACTGAAAATCTCATAAAGTTAATATCATCATGAAAAACCTCCACTTTTACATTACTTGATATTAACAGTATTATTGTAATACTTAAAAAGGACATGCATATTTTGAAGAATGAAATGAAGTGGAGAAACCGAGGCTGATAATGCTGCTAGATGCATTCTATTTGTATGGGCAAATAAAGAGGTCCAAACTGGTTTTAACATTTTTTTTTTAAAGCTCCCAAGCAAAAGACTAACAAATGGCAAACATAGAAAACAGGGAAAGAAAAAGAACAATAAAGGGCAACTATGTATGTTTTTCAACCAGGCACTTTTACACACATGGAAGTGCTGTTGGAGTTTCAGTGTTAATGTGCTTAGGTGCCAAAAATAAATTTCAATTAGAATAGAAAAGGAAGATGCAATATAGAATTTCTCTTATTTTTAAAAGGGTATCATAACAGAGTGAATGCAAAATTGTATGTAACAGTCTTGTTTCAACTTCACCTACCTTTGCCTTAGAGAATCTGGATTCATTTTTGCTAACTAACAAAGTCCATTTTTGTTGAAAAGCACAATCTTTTGTGAGCTGCAGCTGCACTCTGTGCAAATCAGATGCACAGAGTGGCTAGATTCATGTAGGATTTAAATTGAGGTAAGGTAAGGGGAAAGGGAGGAGAAGGATGGCAGTTACATGGAAGACCGTCTACAATTACAGTATCAGTTAACAATCATAATGTGTTTAAAAACCCACTGTGTTTCTTAAGACCTTCTGAAATTGCCTAAAACATTTTCATGTATCCCAGCTCAATAATTACGTGTTTGATGTGACTGTTAACTTCACACTTTTCCAAAATAGGCCATCTGAGGTCTCCTATGGAGTGTCTACTGTGCCAAACCTTGAAAACATAAACTTGAGTGTCAGAATTTTCTCTTATGGATTTTCCTCTTGCCCACCCTTGGCAGTGAAAAGGACGGTGAAGAAACAATTCTCTCTGAGAATGTCAATTTTAGCTAAGATAGTGACCATCTACAACTACAGTATACTATGCAAACTTTATACTGACAAAAACAAATAGGATTTCTTAGTCACAACTGCATATTTATGAAGCCCTTGCATACAACTCAAATTGAAGGCCAGAAAAAAATAACTATTATATATAAATGTGTATGTGTGTGTGTGTGTGTAAAGTAATTTATGTGTCTAAAAAAAGTGTTGAAAGTGCAAAGCAGCAAGGAAAATTATATATTCCAAACAAGAAGAATATATTGGTTTACTCCTTTAAGAATATGAATCTTAGCATTTTCTCCTTCCTTCTTCCATAATTAGCCATACACACTAAGAAGATACTGTGGCATGTAGCCATTTATTACAAGGAATACTTGAAACATTTAACCTTTACTATATGGAATCTGGTTTCAGAAGTGACCTTAAGGTACTGTGACCTTACAGTATATAGTCTATCAATTAAACCTGAAAGAAAAGCAGCTCCAGCACTGAACTTGGCTGCTGAATAAACTGACATTTAATAGACCCTAAATATGTATCACTCATAAGACAATTTTTTTTCTCTTAAAATATTAACACTGGTCAATTATTTACTTAATTTAATCTAAATAGATTAGATTGCTACCCTTGGCAGAAATTTTATGTAAGAGAGTGAAATACATTTAAAGTTATAAATCAAGACGGGAATTGCCGAACAGGTGATTTGCTGACTTCCAAAGAATGCTATGTGCTAAGTCTTTCCTTAATTCAAGTTCGGAATGAAATGGTCTTGAGACTATCTTGGTATAATAAAGTCACTTTTCTAATTTAAAATAAAGAACACTGACAACAAACCATCACTACTGATTCCTTCATTAATTTGTTCTGGCCTGAAATGTCCCTTGGTCCTTGAGAAAGGGAGAACAGCTATAAATCCAAAATTACAGCCACTGTTATATACAGCATTTTCAGTCTACAAAACTTATCTGTGGAAATACCTACAGCATTATGGTGAATAAAGTTTTTGTTTACTTGTTTGCTAAAAATAAAGAGGAACAATTATATTTCTTTTAATGGGAATTATTTTCTGGGGGGGAAACCCATCATCTTTTGACTTCTGTATCACCTTCTTCTAACCTGCCCAGAAGACCTCAAGTATTTATAAAACTCATCTCTTAGAGAGATTATTATTTGGGAGATATAAAATATTTACTGGTTTTAGCAAATAAGAAGGTGATCCCACATTGAAGCCTAAACAACAACAATTTTGCCTGCCACATCTGCCAAAACTTCTTAGCAAATGCAAGATCATCTTATCATTTTGAAGAGAAACTATTTGGGGAATATGAGTATTTATTTCATTTATCCCAGAATGTCACCAAGTCTATTCTCTTTTGAATAAAAGCTTGAAAGAACTTCATAAACAACATAAAACGTTTCAAATCCAAACCGTTTCAAGTTCAAAATGACCTGTTTGAAGTTTGAAACAGTGGTTTTTATTTGTGAACTTTTCACTTGGGATGAACCAAAAGTCCTACAAGTGGATCTCTTTACAGATGTGATTTAGGAACACAGTGAAACAGTGACCAGCCCAGCCATTTGTCCATCTACCCCAGCCTTGGCCAGGCTGCCTGGAAGAGGATCTTTGAAGCATCAGACTGTAGTTTGACTCTACTACCTGCTACACTTAACTAGAAATGCCAGAAACCGAATCCGAGATGTTACGCATGCACAATGACGTCTCTTCCTTTCATCCCACCACCAATATAGCTCCTTCAAATTATGAAGTACAAGAGTGCAAGGAAACATTACCAGTGTAGAATATCAAAGTACTTGTCCTGTGAGGTTTGGAACTTCGACAACACGTAACAGTTACATTTGAATTTATGTAAAGGACACTGAAATCTTTAAAAACTAATACTAGTCCCAACCATTAGTGCGATGTTGAACTAAAGTGTTGATGTTTGTGCTACAGAGCTCTGTGGAAGTATGCTCACCAAGGAAATCCTATGAATCATGTTACGAGGTATACTGCGGTAGGTAATTATTAGGTAATTAAAAACTAAGATATATAGAATACCATGTTAGTTGTGAATAGAAAAACTATTCCCTAATATTTAAATGCAATAGTAGGTCTTTTATTGATGGCAGTATTGCTTATCTACAAAGAGAATGGACATTGCAGTTGTTTCAATGATTTTATACGTATTAACCAAATAAATATATATTTAGTAGTTGTGGCTTGAAAAATACCTACTTCTAATGATTTTAACAAATTATTCTCCAAAGAATAATAATTCACTCTATCTGAAAAACAGGTCAACCACCATCTCTTCTTCTTTGCAGAGTCCAGTGCCTCTCCTGCACAAAGCTAGTTTGGCAAACATGTATCCCAAGAGTGGAGAACAGTGATGAATATTCAGAGAGGAAAAATCCAAAGACTACCATGTGCAAATGGAAGGCATTTTCAAGCCTTGGTAAAAACATGTTTGAATCAAAGCCATTATGTTTAGCCATAAATAATGGCCATTATATACTGGCACCAACATTTACTTTCAGCTTTTGAAATACCATATGGTTGTTTTATTTTCATGGTAGCCAACGTAATTGAAAATGCAACCATTTCCAGTATATCTGATATTAGACTAAGTGCCATGTCAGCATGTGACTGTTAATGGCACCAAAAAAAAAAAAAGGATTTGGAGAAAAATAAGTTGCAGGATATTACTAGATGCCCATTAATACTAACATAAAGGCTAATGTTTTATTATTTTTAAAACAGAACCCTCCAAATTATAAAAATCAGATGTCCAATGTCAATAGTTTATGAAAGATAAATCCTGACAAAATACTGGAGCTTAAAGGCTCTTTTACAAGCAAATATAGAAAAGGTAATCTGTAAACTGCTGTTTCTAGTAGTTGTGCTGTTAAACCCTCACTGCAAAAAAAAAAAAAAAGATACATATTTGAACACAGTCCTATTTGCTCTTACAGATAGTATAATTCTCCTCATTTGTGGCTGGAAACTTCAGAGATATTTAAGATAAATTACATAAAATAAATCTTCTCAAGTTTTTCACTCTATGAAGTTAATATTTAAAATATGCAGTTTCCACAGCTCAGCCTTCTACATTCTATTCCTCTTGTCTTACTTTTAGTCATTTATTTCAAAGTTCCTCTCCTAGAGGTTGAGCAGACTTGGAAGTCTTTGGGTTAAGGAACTCACTTCAGAAACAACAGAAAATTGACATAAATGATTCATGTTGAATTCCCTCTTGCTTAAGAAAATTAAAGTCACAGTACCACATAAATGCAGTGTAAGTTCCCTTCAATATTGAAACACAGAATGAGTTTTGTTTTGATTTGTTTGCAAAATTGTTTCCTCCTTAATAACCAAATTGTTATTGTACAGTAAGTCGGGTTTTTTTTGGTTTTTTTTTTGGGGGGGGCGGGGGTGTTGGGGAAAATAAACACATCTCTGTATTTTAAATTTTCCTTACTTCTAAAACTACTTTCCTTGAACCATCCTTCAAAGCAAATTCCAGTTCAGATCAATGATGCCAAAACATGAAGTGGCATAGTTCTCTTATAGAGCCACTGTCAAACAGTTCAACAATACCTTTAGGAAAAGCAGAACATCTCTACCTTTATGCATTTGGAATCAAATAAAATTTTCTTCAAGCACAGCAAACAAAAACTCTAAAGTGCTTTGCTATCCCAGGGGGAATATTGACAGAAAAAAATATTACAATTTCATTTTAATTAACACAAGAGATGTATTCACTCAGAGTTAACAAATCCATAGCAACAATATTTTTGTAGACCCTGTCATTTAAAATAGAATTTTACAAGTATCATAACTGTTCTAAGGAGCATATGATACTATTTTGCATGGAGTAGGAAAATGAATCATTGAAATCCTTCTTACAAGTCTAAAAGCTCCCATATCTAGAACAATTGCTCCACCAACTCCAAAGGAGAAGCAATTCTTCTGTCCCCAATTTTAAACCAATTTTCCATTACACCAAAAATAGGGAGATATGGTTCAATGCATATTATTAAGAGCTCAGTAAATGAAATAACTTTATATCACAGTTCAGTACTAAAAGACCTGGATCAAAGTTGGTACACAAGGCAGAAAGGTGGAGAAGACCGTGTGGGACTAAAATGGTATTTCTAGCTTAATAAACTATGTGTATTAAGTTGGGAATACTACATTTAAACCAGCCACTAATTGCTGCCTATAAGACATGCAATTTGTGAAATAGAATTGCTTAATTTTTTAACTAGGAAAAGTATTTTCAAAAACTAATGTGTCAGAAACTAGATCTTCATTTGATCTTTCCATTATATTTAAATAATCTTCCACTTTTTGAAAAGCAGAACAAATGTTCTAAGGTGCAATGCTGAATCAGTAATAGTGGGCTATATCCAATATATATTAGCTGACTTGCATTTGCGTAATGGGATTTTCTTCTCTTTTCCCTCCTTGTGCCATGATCCTCAAAGCATACACAAAAGGGCTTGTCAAACTTCTGCAGGAGAACTGGAATGACCCCACTAACTCCTAACCCCAATATGATAACACTTAATAATTAGTCCCATCTCACTCACATGAAACACCTTTGTAAACCTTTACTTATACTGTAGATTGATATAATCATGCTACATTCACTTTGAGAAGATGGGATCAATCAAGGATCAATTTGTTTGGCAGTCTCATGCAACATACATGAGAAGTGAATTAAAGTAAATGAAAAAATAATCTGTATTTGCAAGAAATAGTTAAACACATTAACAAAAAAATTCTTTGCAATGTCACAGACAACCCCATTAGTAATCAGTACCCAGCTAAATCATAGGCTAAGTCTGTTAGCTATAAATTCGTGTTACCACGCTGTTCAGAACTTTCTCTATTTGTAGAAAGTGTCCACAGTTGTTTATACATTTTTCTTCGAATCAAATCAAAGTTTCTAAAGCACTTTGTAAATCCAGGTTGAAGATGTCTGTGCCACTCTGAGATAAGAGTACACCATCTAGATGGAACAATCCAGGAGATTCTGGTACAAGTAAATCATGTTGGATCACAGTCCCTCCAATATATTGCATAAAATAGCCCATTTCCTCATTGAGTATTTTTCTGCTTCTCTCCATCACTTTATGGGGTATCTCTTGATTCCATACTTTCCGGGGGATGATATTAGACCAGACTAGAATAGTATTCTTGAATATTTGCTTAAGAAGTCCAAAATCTTTCTTCATTCGGTTTATGACATCCAAATTACTGGCTGTCCCCAAGTCATTGCCTCCTAGATGGATCACCAATATATCAGGATCTGTTAGCCTCCGTCGTGTATGCAACAGGATGGGTACTAATTGATCCCACACCATTCCACTCTTTCCTAGCCAATGTAATTTGGCATCCTCCAGTCGAATTCCCAATTGTGGACCAAAGCTTCTTTCAAGTGCCCGTTTTTCTGCCCAGAAAACATAAGAATGACCACAAATCCATACCTGTTTCTGCTTTCTTCTGCCATCTGCTATTAAGAGAACAAACATACATTAATCCTTCATAAAATTTGTGGTCAAAGCCCTTTCTGAAAACTCTACCCAGAGTAGTTTTCTGTATTGCTCCATGTAAAAACAATCAAAATGTTAGATATAAACACACGAAAACCTTCCATATTGGCAATTTGATTTGAACACTATTTCAAACAACAGTTAATATGTTGGTGTATTCAGTTTACAGGCTAAATGATTGCATCTAATTTATATAACAGCAAAAAAAAACCCCTGTATTTACCTCCTATTCGCCCTATGTATTGATATTTTCCAAAGCAACTCAGAGCTATCTTTTCCAAATGAAGATTCTCGTACACATTTAGCTCTTCTTGAAAGAGCAGTTAACATTGTTAAGCTTTCAATATTCAGAGTGACCAATTATTGATACTGAACTTAGACATAATCTCCCCAAGACAATTAAGAGATTAATAGACATAAAAGCAAAATATAATTTCATAGGCCAAAAAACACAGAAAGTAATCGAATGCCAGAGTTAATTGAGATCACCAAGCATGGCAGATAGTGGTTGAGAAAGCAGTGCAGAGTAAATACTTTTTTATTATATCCCTTATAGTTATGTATCTACGAAGCCATGTTACACCTTTTTCAAGAAGATCAATATTGTTTTGCTGAATTACATCCAAACACTTAGGTTCCTCTTTAAAACAATTTTAAAAATGTGTGACAAGAGTACAGATTACCCATTATGATTTTGAGTTTCGCAAGATTTCTCTTCCTCAACTACCTGACACACTGGTATCTCTGCATTTTGCTAGGCTTCTTGTCCTCAAGAATATTCAGTGAATATGCTAAAGTCACCCAATAAGAAACAGCACAGTATTTCCAGGTTTGGGAACACCTGTCCCCACTAATATCAAATTCTATACATAGAACAGGGTACATTCTTGATTTGGCATTCAGTTCAAAAAAAGTTGGTAATACAAAGTTCAATGAGTCTGTATGAAATGTTCATAAAAGATTATGAATATCTGCAAGTATGATAGCTTAAAAGTGTCTATTCTTTGTATAAAAGCATTTTTTTCTGAGCCTCTGAGCAATACTGTTTAAAAAAAAAAAGCCCTGCTTGATCTGTAGAATAGAAAATAATCCCAGGTAGTTGACACTGTTGATTCAAAGCATACTCCCCTCTCTTAAACTTCTGATTATGTAGGCGGATAAAAATGATGAAACAGGAGGAATGACAGTCTGAACACCAATAAAGACATCTCAGGAATCTCAGGCTGAGCATTCTGTAAAGTGAAGGTAGCAAAAGGAATATTTTTGCATTCTTATTGTGCCAGATCCAATTACAAGTAGTCCTTGACTTATGATCACAATTGAGCTCAAAATGTCTGTTGCTATGTGAAACATTTGTTGAGTGAATTTTGTTCCATTTTATGACTTTTCTTGCCACAGTTATTAAGTAAATCACTGCAGTTGTTAAATTCTGACTCTGCTTGTCAGGAGCTCGCAAAAGGAGATCACAGGATCCCGGGACACTGGAACCGTCATAAATATGAGTCAGTTACCAAGCATCCAAATCTTGATCATCTCACTATGGAGATGCTCAAATGGTTGTAAGTGTGAAAAACGGTCCTAACTAACTCACTTTTTTCAGTGCCTTTGTAACTTTGAATGATCACTAAAACTGTTGTAAGTTGAGGACTACCTGTAAGCTGTTGTTGTTTTTCCATACTGAATAGTATCTTCTTCTTTAGTATGTGGAGAGGAATAGTAGACAATGAACAACGCAGTAGCAGATAAAGTTGACCATTCACTGTAGATCTTGAAGATGTGAAGATCTTGAAGATTTTGTTGACCCCTTTAGAATTTCCACTGTTAATTAAAGTAGCCAAGGTATGACTATCTTCATGCTTAAACACAGCGACCATCTTCTGGCTTCAAAGAGGCAATTACAAGATTTTTTTAATTGTAAAAAAATCCTAAATCCAAAAGATTTGTGTAATTACAAACCAGTATCCAATATACCACTTTTAAAGCTATAAATAAGCAGCTCTGGCAGATTAACCTGAACAATTTCAAAGGCTGGACTAAAACTCTGCACCCAAAAGTCTTTGAGAAAGTCCTCCTTTTTTGTTGAGACACGAGTTCAGAATGCAGGAGAAGGGCTTCCTCCACGATGTTATGGAATAAATTGTCTTGGGCACCATATTTAGTTCCGTCTTAGTTTAAGATTTACTTCTTTTTGTTTTTTGAAGATTTTATAATTATTTTAATATTAAGCATTTAATTAAATCTTAATAGTTTTCTTTTTTCTACATTAGCTGCCTTAATAATCTTGGCTGAATAGGAAAAGGGGATATAAATACATTCTGGCTTTTCAAACTTACATAATGGTGCTGGACAAAATATCATAATAAGGAAGTCAACTTGACCTGGGCTGCTCTCTGTACTAACGATGCTGTGCCTTTTAAACAAATTTTCCTGCTTACTTCTTGGGAAGGCAAAGTCCCAATACAGATGAACAGATAAGCCAAGGTGTGGTCATAGCTTCCAAATTTCTAGGACTTTTTACAAATGGATTTAATTTTAAATGCACTATTTAGTCCAATTGCAGTAAGAATCTTTTAGTCATGTATGGAATAAAAAAACAGCTGCTGATCTGAATTTTTATCTGACAGAAAATAAAATTTACATATAATAGTCATACATCTATTGAGTATCTATCCATGAAACTGGATATTCATGCTACTTCTAACATGATTATCTGTTCAATAATACATAAAGAATAGAGATCTGGAGGCCTGAAAATGCATTGAAGAACATATTGAAGATACTTAATTCAAGCCTATTCAAACAAATTTTCAGCAACATTGACTGTCAAGGTTTCCTATGTTTAACTGTAATTATATTCACTAAATTTAGCTGCAGCATCACTACTTGCATTGTAGAGATTACACTCTCTTTATTCCTATGTATTTGTTAGCATGTTAAAACTTCTCCCAAAATCTAAATGTCAAAACTTAAGATTAGCTGCCCACAGTAAGGTTAGAGAATAAAACAATTACGTAATTTTGTTATATTTGCTTTTTAGCTTTAATTCATTTTTGGCTTGCTAAGGTGACAAGTTTCAAACGCATACAAATTTTTATCACATACAGCAATAAATTAAAAATAAAGACTCTTCATGAGTGAAATAGCAGAAGTCATTAATTGTTTTGTAAATCAAATATTGGAGGAAAAACAATACATATAATATATGAAGTAGTAAAAAAAATCAAATACTGTTTTTATGATAGGTTTCTTTTGTTGCTATAGTCAAATCAATGATTTCTATAAATGTAAGTATTTTGGTTTGTATATATGCAGGTGCAAATTTCATTTTCCACCTTTGAAATGATTATTTTGAAATTACTCACCCACAGTGGTCACGGGAGGCTGAGAAGGATAATGTGGTGTGCTGGTTGTTGCTGGAAATGGCCCACTAGGTGCAGGGTAAGGGTAGACTGAATAACCACTTGACGAGGAAATGAAAGGGAAGACAAAATAGGATCATTGAAGCTTAATGGATTCAGCTATGATCAGATTACAATTCAATCTAGTGATAAATTAATTGATGCTTATATGTTTGAACACTACTTCATGTTATTTTTATAAATTAATATTACATTTTCAAACTCGTGCTCAAAACATTTTAAGGAAAAACACCAAACTCAGCTATTCAAGGCTTAGTCTATTGTTAACTGTTTTCATTCTGCTCTGTTACTTTCATGAAAAGAAAACTCGGTAATCTTTTAAATTATATCACGGACACCAAGCAGACTCCTATATCTCCCGGAAGATAAAATGGGTTTTTTTGCATTCTGTATTTCACATACAGGTGATCAAAATGAATTACTACTTTTTAACAGAAAAGTACACAATAGAATGCTACAGGAGGATAAAGAAAACCAATAAACTGACTATGTTGCAAGATTTATATTAAGACCGTAAGTGCTGAAAACTTCCCTAGTAATTCACCTAACTGTGCAGCCATTAATTAATAATTAAAATTAAAGAATATTCAAATGAATACAAATAATGCAGCCCTTAGTTTCCTTAAAAAACACTTTAAATTTGTCTAGTGTTTAATTGTTGGATGTTGCTGAATTAGAAGGCTGAGCAATGTAATCCAGCATGATCAGCAGTGAAAAGGTTTCAGTTTTACCGCAAAGCCACAAATTTGAGATCTCCTTTATACATTTCAGAAATTCATAAGGAAAGGAATAACCTTGCATTTCCCAGTACCATTTTGTATCGTACACTGCTGACTCTATCCCTAGACCTAAATGTGAGAACTGCTCACATATGGGAACCTCATTTGCCTTCTTGTTGTGTACATTTGCAAATACAATTGCATGTTAGTGTGGCATCGCAGCAAGAACCTGGGCAAGGATTTGTTACAGAGCACAATCATTTTTGCAAACACATGTGCCTTACATATATACATACATTTTTTGACACTGAACCATATCTGTTTAAAGAAAACCTGGTATCCCTCCAAATATCAGAGAAGTTCTAAAAGCTTATTAAGACAATTGAAGTAGGTTAAAAACATATATTGGCAATGATAATCAAACACTAAACTGGCCTTGCGAATAGATGGGGCGTTGGTTCTTACCTGATACGCCCATTCTCTGGGAGCTGTGAAGAGCATCCAGGCCCGGATAATACTTCCGTCTGTCGTTCAATAGGCTAAGAAAAGTTCTGAGGACCCGCCTCTTTGCTGCTTGTCCCCAGTTTTGGCGACATCGAAGTGGTAGATAACACCGTTGTCCTTCCTTCACCCTTGCTCATCGTGCTTGACCAGGAACAGACCCAGATGGACATCTGGGTGGGCTGGATGCTCTTCACAGCTCCCAGAGAATGGACATATCGGGTAAGAACCAACACTCCTTTCTCCAGTAAGCTGTTCCAAGCATCCAGGTCAGGGACATACCCAGGGGTGGGATTCAAAAATTTTTAACAACCGGTTCTGTAGGCATGGCTAGGTGGGTGTGGCCATGTGACTGGTGAGCGTAGCTTTTTTTTGCAGCACCCTCCCTCCTGGGTCTCAGGCAAGCCTCTTGGTGGGACGTTTTTTGCTCCCAGACATCCCTGGGGCCCAGGAAGAAAAAAAAAAAACAGAGCATAGGGGGACATAGTGCAGCACCCCCCTATACTCCATTCTTGGGCCTTGGCGGGTGGTTTTTGTTCCCAGAAAGCTTCTCTGGGGCTCAGGAAGAAAACCAACGGAGCATGGGGGGGCGCACAGCACCCCTCTACACTCCATTTTTGAGCCTCAGGCAAGCCTCTGAGGGGGGGGCATTTTTACTCCCAGAAGGCTTTCCTGGATCTCAGGAAGAAAACAGAGCAGGTGGGGGGGCGCAGCATACCCCCACCCTCCCACACTCTTTTTTTTTTTTTGCCTCCCGGGCAGTAAGACAGTGAGGGGGATCCCGGCACAGCTGATCATCAGAACAGCTGATTGTCGGGAGGGGGAGAAAAATACCTTAAGGAGTAACTGGGTGGGGAGAACACAGTCAGCGATGTTGGGCATGTGTGCAATGTTGCGCATGCGCGGTAAGGACTGACTGGGTGGGGAGGGGAGGAGCCATCCAGGTTCTGGCCCCGTCCCTCCCTTCCGAACTGCACAGAATCATAACAACCAGTTCTATAGAACCAGTCTGAACCGGTAGAATCCCATCCCTGGACATACCCAAGCTGGCGTGTCCTTACGGGAGGGTCTCCGTCTGGTTTGGAGTCTCCCTCACCGTATGAACTCTTTGTAGGACATGTCTGCCAAAGGCGGCCTCTGCCGAGGCAAACACGTCTAGTCTGTAATGTCGTACGAAGGGCGACGGTGACGACCACATTGCCACCCTACCAATTTCTTTGATAGAGGCTTGTGTCGCCCAAGCCCTGATGTGGCCGCACTCCTGGTGGAGTGTGCCATGGTTCCCCTGGGCACTGGTAATGTCTGTAGTTCATATAACTTTGCAATCATAGCCCGAAGCCATCTGCCCACCGTCGAAGCTGTGACTTTCCTCCTCAGGGTCGAGGGTTGGAACGAGACAAAGAGGGCCTCCATCTTTCCGTGGGAAACAGTCCTGTTGATATAAATGCGGAGGGCCCTTCACCCATCTAAGGAATGTCATTGCCTCTCTAATGCATGAACCGGTCTAGGGCAGAAGTTGGGGAGAATCAACTCCTGCTTCCGATGGAATGAGGAATTGACTTTGGGTATGAAAGCCGGGTCGAGGCGAAGAACCACCCTATTGGAGTGAAACACAATGGTCCTCCCTCACCAAAATGGCTGCCAGCTCAGATATTTTCCTTGCGGAGGTTATAGTCACAAGGAAAATCATCTTATAGGTTAGTAGGTGGAGACTGGTAGTTCTCAAGGATTCAATGGTGTTTTGGTGAGTGCTGTGAGAACCTTATTTAGATCCAGGTGGGGTATCTGTGGACCACTGGGGGTCTTAAATTGCTGGCCCCTCGTGGGAAACTACATACTATCGGATGATGAGAAACTGTAAACCATCGCAGGAAAGGACTGAGGCTTGGGCTGCTACCTGCCTACGTAACTTATTTGGGGAGAGCCCTTTGTCTAATCCCTCCTAGAGAAAGTCCAATCTGATTGAATGTTGGTCAGCCCCGAGATATGTTCTGCCTTGATGGAGTTGAGATGTCGCTCTTCCCAGCAGCAAACCCCCTCTGCCTCCCTCATGAGGGACTTTGAATGCATGCCTCCCTGTCGATTTATGTGGCCACATTGTCTGTCAGGAGGAGGACATGCGGTCCCTGGATCTCTTGTTGGAACTTGCAAAGAGTCAGATGAGCGGCCCTGAGTTCCAGCCAACTGATATTGTGAGTTAGGTCTATTGGAGACCAGCAACCCTGGGCTACTAGGGACTGGCAATGAGCCCCCCAACTGAAGAGGCTGGCATCGGTAGTAATTGTTAATCAGTGTGGCTCTTTGAAAAGGCAACCCGTGGTGATGTTCCTGGAAGTCCACCATTGGAGTGATAGAAGAACTTTCGGTGGGACCAGGACCTTGGCCAAGGAGTTGCTCCTGCCTGATCTCTGGAAGGGGAACAAAACCATTGCAAAGACCTGGCATGGAGGTGGGCCCAAGGGACTATTGCAATACAGGAAATCATCTTTGCCAGAAGTCGAGATAACTGGGCCAGGGGCACTCTTTTGAGCAGGGTTCGCCAACCTTTTGGACCTCAGGGACCACCAAACTCATAATTTTAGATCCCAGGGACCACTAACTGGTTCTGTGGGTGTGGCCTATTTGTGGGTGTGGCTTGATGGTCATGTGACTGGCTGGGCATGGCTTGTATGTAAATATTATAAATATTTATATAAATATTGAATTTTTTATAAAAAAGAGCAACTTTTACCCAAAATCAGGCAAAGCAGGCAGGCAGATTGAGTTGCTCACAGAATCATTCAGTGATCTACCTATCTGCCATTGGCTAGCTCAGTCTCTCAAATTTGCTTGCCGTGAGTCTGCACTGAATTTGCTTGCAAGCAAACCTTGAGTCCTAAGGGAGGTTCGACTGTGCTTAGCTAGAAAGCAAGAAATCCAACCATTTCCTGCTTCCTAGCTAATCTAAATCTCCCAGCACAGCAGAACAGATGATGGTCAGAAAAAGGAAAAATAGCAACTTAGCAGACAAGTTTGCCGGGTAAGGAGTGAGTGGGCGGGGAGGGTTCCTGTGGGCCATATAGGCTGAGCAGCCTTGTGTTTCTGTGCAGCCTGGATTAATTGCTTTGGGGGGTGCTCCAGGGATGAGATTTCTCAGCGGCCCACCAAAATTTTCTCATGGCCCATCGGTTGGCGACCACTGCTTTTGAGAGTCCGAATACAAGTGGACAAATCCCTGATGCTGGCCTGTCGGTTCGGCAAAAGAAAAACCTCGCTTGTCACCGTGTCAATTATGACGCCCTGGTGCAGAAGTTGAGTGATAGGTATTAGATGGCTTTTGGCCAGGTTAACTGAAAAGCCATGGTCCCAAAGGACTCGGAGCATGGTTCATAGATCTATCTCTGCCTGCAGGTGAGACGAGGATTGTATCAAAATGTCTTCTAAGTAACTGTTGTGGTTTGCTGGCAGCATGTGTGAACGGCTGAGGTCTCTGAGAGTGAGGCCTTGGATGAGGGGCCTGTGTGTGATGCAGGGAAGGGGCCAGAACTATCGGAGAGTGGGGTGCTTCCTTCGAAGCTTGTGCAGTCTGGCAGCAGTGATGAAGAGGGCCCCGAGGTTTCTGTGCTCAGTGCGTGTGCGCACAGGGCTGCTCAAAGGAAAGAGCAGCTGAAGCAGCACAGGTGATTCGAGAGTAAGGTTGCAAGGTGATGGGACCTCCTATAAGGGATAAAAGCCAGCCTTTGGGGTTGGCTTCTTTGCAGGAAGCAAAGAAGTTCTTTCAATTCCAAGTTCTTGAGGAAGTCCTGTCTGTTCTGGTTCGTATTTGAAGATTTTTGATTTGG